AGACCAAACTGCACCCTCAATTCCTAAAACTGAGGTTCCAATAATAATCTCACTCAGATTCTGGAAACCAGTGTTTGTGGGGGCCCAGAATACTAAGAAGCATCTCCTGCTATTTATACATGTGACTAATTTCTCTACTCAGCACTCTGCCAGGTTGTTGCCGTGGTTAATTCCTTTTGATGAGCTAGCACTCCTTCACCCACACTATTCCTATCTGATACTTAACTGTTCACCTCACTTTAGGCCGGCGACAAAATTCTGCTCAATTGGTATCTGCACTTATTTTGTAAAAGGTTAGAAAACAGAATACTATGGCACAAGTAGTTAATTGAATCCCAGGTCATGATCTGGCTTTGCAGGCTTCAATTTCAGCTATTATAGATAAGTTGCAATTGTTAACACTCAGTCAACTGAAATTATCCAAGGAATTGAGCATAGCAACCAGTGTGTGCATGGCACATGCAGTCTGGCTTTACTGAACCTAGAAGTGCTGTGCTGGCATACTGGAAAGCATTTGAGGAGGCTAGGCATATGTCACAGGGGCCATCCCCTGTATGGATGGCAAACAGTGCTGAAACTCTCAGCCACTATCTTTGGATAGTCAGTCTCAAGCTTAGGCCCGCTGAAATGCTTGAGCTAATAATCATGCATCACAGCCGTGTGGCTGCCACCAGGAGAAATTGCCATTGTCTTTGCAAGCCTCTGAAAATAATTAAAATCACACATATGGAGAATGGTAGGCATCAAAATTAAAAGGAAAGGTCAAGAAGAATAAATTTCATATTTCCAAAGACCTCAAAAATCTCTAAAATAAAACTCGGGGAAAAAAGCATATGTGTGGTCCATTTCCTAAGTACAGTGAAAGAGCTATTGAGATGGATGGCGTGCCTCTCCCTATCACTACAGTGAAAACATGACACTTGGGTTTCCAGTCCCTCTAAGATGACAGCATCTGGGCCTAGCACACCGTCAAATTCTATTTACAGGAGCATTTTTTAAAGTTAAGTCAACGACTGACTCTTTTATTGCATCTGGCTCAACATTTGTAAACAGCATCTTTCGCAGGGAATTAAGCCAACATCATTTTGTAAAAGGGGACAGTTCAGTACTTCTTGAGGTATGGCCCTCTGAACCATTTTCATCAAAATCCTTGATAAAGTGTTTACATAGACTCCAAGAACCTCCAGAATTATCAAAAAGAAGCACCATTCATACTGAGCATACAATAGATATTAATATTCAACACCCGTTTTGTGAAACACCCTTTTCCCTTCTGCTCTCTTCTATTTCATGCTTTACACTGCTGGTCTTAGACCTACTAAATTGGCATCATGGCCTCCTCCTGGGTTATAACCTTAATCTTAAAAAGCACAGGTCTCCTTGACTAGAAGGAAGCAGAACAGTAATTGCAAAATTAGCAGCAAACACTTCAGGCTTTGTGATACCGAGAGGGTTTAGTATTTCCCCCACCTTTTTCAAATTCAATAGGATGTCTTATAAACGAACTCTATCTACTTGGATGGCTGTAGGCATTAAAGAGTGGTTGCAGGCTTCACTTACAACCCATAATGGTACCCACTGTCTGAGATCTGGACAGGAAATGTTACCTCCATAGGAATGATCATCTCTAAGCCTCCAGCCTTAGGCAAAGATGGGAGTAAGCAAAGTGTGTGCTCAGTGCTGCTCCTTGTCACACCCCCAGCCACATCCTCTAGGCAAGGGCTTCAAAGCCCTCTCTTCCTTCACCTCTCCCCACCCATTCACACCAAACACCCAAAGGAGGTAAATTACATGAAAACACTTAAGCACTGGCTTTTCTTCAATACTGTAATTTCATAAATGTTTATGATGTAGCAGCACTCCGAGAAGCCACCATCAGCTTTCTCTCTTCCGTTTTTCTTCTCCTAGGTGCGTTTTTCTCTTCTCCCCTGCATGTGCCACCCCAGCTTCTTCGGCCTCCCTCACCGCCCCCTCTCCTCTGCCTTCACTTGCATTTTCTAGGAGAGTGTGCTGGGACCCAGTTTACGTCTCTGACTTCACACCATTGACAATGCTCCTCCAAGGGGAGTTTTCTTGGGCTAAAGCAACACAGACTTTGAAAAGATTTTCCCCCAAGGAGAGGGATAAAATACCAGCTCAGGAGTGGGGATGTGTTTTTAATAAAGTGCGCTGGTTTTCTACTTTTTGCAAGGAAATCACCCCTCTGCTTCCCTTCTTCAGTCTGAAATTCTAAGGGAGGAGGATACCTACCCAAGGCAGAAAGCAGTCTAAAAGAAAGAGTGGCTAAACATGGAGGAGAAGATGCTGAGGAAACGCGAAACCCTGGGCTTTGCACTTGCCACGGATGCAGAAACACTTTCTTTGTATATTTTCTTGGCAGGCCTCACCCAACTTGGGTATTTCTCATTCAGTCAGCAAACATTTACTGAGCACCTACTATGTGCTAGGAATCAAGCGAAATATTGAAGTTGTCAACAAGAGATAAACCATAATCAAATAAACAGATGAAAATATGATCTAATGAGTAGAAAAATGCTAAGAGAAATACGTTAGAAACATAAAAGGACCAAGGAGGGCTTGGCTGTTATTTTATACGGAGTAGTCAGGGAAATGCGGGTAAGCTGACACAAGTGGGCAGAGACCTGAAGGAAGCAAGGGAGTGAGTCATCTAGACCTGCAGGAGAAATCCTGTGCAAAAGAAACAGTGTGTGCAAAGGCCCTGGGGACAGAACTCTGAAAAAGAAGAATGTAAGGTCCTCAGAATGGCTACAGTCAACAAGGACATTGTGCGTGTTCTGGGGGACATGGCCATCCATCAGAAGGACCACCCATCCGATGACTCAATGACTGCTCCAAGTCCTGAGTTTCCTCAGTCATATCTGGGCCTACCCTCCCAGCCTGACCCCTTCCTGACACATACCAAGCTTCCTGTTCCCCAGTTCCCTTCCCTCCTGACACCTCTCCCACTCCAGTTCCAACACTTTGAGTTATTCCCTCACAATTTACCAGGTCATTTAACTGAACAAAAACAAACCAACAAACAAAAACCTGAGTAATAAATGTAGTAGAAAAGAAGGTCACATGCACACTTAACCACAGCTTTCAATTGATAGGAAATGTACCACAGGAAAGAGCAAGGATCAAATGGTAGCTATAAAAGAAAGAGAGTGAGAGAGTAGGGGGGAGAACAATTAAGTCTGGTGATAGGCCTGCAGGGGCTCGGACCTCCTGATTTACTAGGATCCAAGTTCTATAAACCAGGGAACTATAATCCTTGAAACAACCTTGGGAAACAGGTATGGAGGTGGGACCATATGAAAAACCATAACCAGAGGAGACCTTCATAATAGATGTTGCCAGTCTTTGTAATCTAAAACTGTGAATGGACAAGTCTGTCTAGTACCCAAGATGCTCTCAAATATTTGGAATTTGAATACAAGTTATTAGTGAATTTTATTTTATATAAGTTTAAAAAAAATCAAGAATTCTCCCATAGTCCCTCCTACCATACCCCCAAGTCACTGGCAGCTCCAGACTGGGGGCCTTTGGTTCTAGGAACACAAAAGTCATCTTAGGTTCTCCAAAATCTTAACTGTGATCAGTTAGGTCCACATAAGCCCTGACCAGTAGTGGGAGGCCCAGGATGCATCACAAACTGTGTTGAGCAAGCCTCGGGAGCTGTCCAGAGGCCCTTGGAGCTACCCTACTGGGGGAGACAGAGGGGGCGGGGCGGACTAAACCCTGTAGCTTTTCATCAAAGCAGGTCCAGCCGCCAACAACTCCTCCCCAGCTGCCAACTTCAAATGGCCCCCAGATGGGAAAGAGCCAGTGGAGCTGGAGTCCCTACTGCCCAGATCTCGCAGTGGAGGACGGACACACACACACGCCGCCTCGCGCGCGCCAGCGGTATAGCACGGACTTCCCAGCCCCAAACACACAACGCGCACCCCCGGGACGACTGAGTTCTGTACTTCCTCTTCCTCAAAGCTACTCTGGGAGGTCGAGGCTGCCCCTCTCCGCTCTGATTCCAGGGGTCCCGTGCTCTGGTGCCCCGCTTCTCTGTGGGAGCTCCGGGTGCGTCCCCTCTCCCATACCAAGATCTCTATCGAAACCCCTTGCCGCCTTTCCGGGTCCTCAGTGTGTCCCCAGGAGGCGGGTATTTACTAACAAACACCCCCCAGGAATCCCAGCTGCCCAAATCACCTCCTCTCGCCACCCTGAGAGCCCCCATCCATCTAGCCCATCACCGCTAGCTCCCAGGAACGCGCCGGCCAGAGGATTCCCTCCCATCTGCGATGGCCGGAGAAAACCCCAGAGTCCGAGCCGCCAGCCGCCGTCTCGGGCGCAGACTCTCCAGTCTCCGGCCCCAGGAATCTAGACTCCAGGCTCCCAACACCACACTCTTCTGTCCCCAACATCCCAACGTGCCAACAGCCAAGCCCTCCTGCTCTCTCCTCCAGCCGACCCCAATCCAAACGTCTCCGCTCTTCTCGGAGCCCGGGCCCTGCGCTCCATCCTCCCGCGCCGCACCCCCAGAGCCCTCTCCCTCTGTTCCCACCGCCATTCGGACCACCCGCTCTGCCCAGACTTCCCCAACTGCAGAGCGCCCAGACGCGCCGGCAGCCCTCACCCAGCCTAGCGCGGTGGCCACCCCCGCCCGAGCCGTGGCGCCCCCAGGGAGGAAACAAAAGTGTCTCCGCGGCGCCCGGAGTCCTCGGAGCAGGACGCCTCCTCCCCGCCCCAGTCCCAACCCCCTCCCGGGCCGCGCTGAGGTCAGCGAGTCGGGGCGCTGAGCCAGCCCAGGAAACTTTACGAACCTGCCCGGGGTCGCAGGACAGCGGCGGGAGCTCCTGGCTATTAGAGCTCTGACGACCCGCGACCATTGAAGGGAAAATCCGAGGCTCTGTTGCCCAGCTCTGGGCTGCGGCGGTGTGGGTGGCTCTGCCTCTATCCCGTGCCCATCCTCGCCCGCTCCCGCTCGCCCAAACACACGCACTTACACTCTGGGTCGGCCGGCTGCTGCGCTGCCGGCTGCCGCTGCTCTCACTTCCTCTTCCTTCCTCCTGCTGGCCAGAGACACATTTTGCATCTGCAAGGCATCCCGAGAGCAGCCGCGAACTCTCCTCCCGAACGGACGCTGCGGAGTTGCAGTCGCCGCCGCCGCCCCCGGCACCTGCGCCGGGACTAGAGTGGTTGGCGCGTTCTCCTCCCGCCCGCGCCCTGCTGCCTGCCCACCGCACTTTGTTTAGGAGGGGTTGCCCACGACTTTATGAAGTCCCCCTACTTCAAGAGGGAAATGTCAAACACCATGCACGCCTCATATCTGCTATAAATAATGTGTGTGCAGAACATGACTTCTCCGATGAGCTCACACACGGTGTTTTGCAGGCACTAATTAACTCCGTCACCCTCGTAGCGCCACCTCCGGGAGGCCAAAAGCGCGTGTGGCATCTTTTTATATGCTTTCCCTTTTGGCAAGTAGTTTGGGATTTTAAGGGGGGAAACTTCGGTGGGCTCTTTTGAGGCTACTTTAAAAGGTTGGGCACATTTGCCTTTGTGCCTTGTTCTTGGGCAGTGTGGAAAAATAACCAATGTATTTACCTCCCCTATAATTTTAAACGACAAGGTTTCTTTCAATGAAGTCAGGGATTCCCTAATTTTAAATAACTTCGCAGAAAGCAAGACGTCCTACCCACAATTTGGTATTTAGGAGAAATTATTTAAGTCATGCAAACTACTTCATTTTCAAAGCAGCAATCGAACATGTTAAATCTCAGCTTTGCTGGCAGGAGATTGCAAGAAAAACACCTGTCCTCTCCAAATTCAGAAATCTCTGCTATAGCTTCACTGGAAAAGGCAGACAGTTGCTCTGCTTTCCCTTCTAACTGGAAAAGGAGAGAATTTGGGGAGCTGAGAGGCATCAGTATCTAATGTGGAAAGCAAAGCTCCCCTTTGAGATTCAGCCCCTTTCCAAGGAGATTAAAATTTTAACCCTATGTTGACTGTCCATTAGCAACACAAAACATTGTGAAGCCTTTGAAATGTGACTAGTATTGAGATGCTCCGTAGGTGTAAAATAGGCACAGGATTTAGTTCCAAGATCAAAATATAAAATAGTTTAATTATTTTTATATTCATTGAATTGTCTCAATGAATGATGAAACTATAGTTGACTTATTGGATATAGTAAGTCAATTCGGTTACTGTATCAGTTAAGATATGAATACACATATAATCCAAATTAATTTCTTTTTCAAACATTTTAATGTAGCTACTAGAAAAAGCCAGATTACACATATGGCTCTCATCAGTGGCTCACATTATACTCCTAATGAACAGCCCTGGTCCAACCCCTATTAGAGACATAACTCGGGGAGGCAGTATTAGTAGCAGGAATGCCTGGGTCCAGATGGTTATAAGCCAGTAACTTAAAGCAGGGTGATTCCAGGAAAGTAACTGAACTTCTCTATTCCATTGTCTATAAAACAGTAATGGTATAATAATAACAGTCAAAAGGGCAACTATTAAATGAGGTCATTTAATAAGCAATTACTAAGTAGAGACTTTAATAACAGTTCAATGAAATGCTTGTAGTGATGAGTATAAATTTGATCTACAACTTTCTAGCAGAGGCATATTAAGACCTTAACTTTGGTGCTGGTATCTAGAGCACTCAGTATGTGTGAGATGTCATAACTGTCCCCTCCTTGCACAACAATTAGATAAATGTAGTTCCCTATAACCTGTAGACCCAGGACTGCCCTCTACAGTTAATATAGAGTAGGTCACATCTTTGCTCCATGAGATAATTTTTTTTCAAATCTTTCAAGATAGTCCCAAAATTTACTGTAATATATCCTTCCAAGTTTTAAACATCTTTAGTTACTCTGAGTCTCCTCAATGTGAAATGATTTCAGATCTCTCTTATCTGATCCATCTTCCCCCTGAAGGACACTACATTCTGTCCTTAAACAAATTAGTTGTGTTCTAGATTAATCATCTAATTAGCCATTAACAAACAGAATACAGCTAGGCTCTTGTGAATTTTTTTCAAATGCATCTCATTGTTGATCCAAGTGGAAGAGGAAAATAGGAACTCCTTTGCTGTGTTACATTAAACCATATCCATTCTTGTGGAGCTGGTCTTTGGGACCCAAATCTACCTGGTCCAAGTTATCTAAGTCTCTATGGATTCAATTCAGGCAACTAATGTATCCCTGTAGCCAAAAATGAGTTAACAATTCTAGGATGCCTGTGAAACTCCATTAAGGACCCCCTAGGGCTCCCTCTGCCATGGCGTGGAACAGTATTCTTTGGTTTTCTGGTTCGTTCTGTAATTAATAGCCCCCTTAACACTGTAATCTCCAGATCTCATTTTCCTGTTGTATCCATGAAGACATTTTAGAGGCATTGTCAAGTGTCTTAGAGGAATCTACCTTTTTCCTGGGCCTACTGGTGTTCCAGAAGAGCCGCCATCTCTAGGTCTGGGTTGTCGGGTATAAATCCCAACATTGCCATTTATTAGCTGTGTTTTCCTCACAAAGCACTCAGATCATGGGATTGAAACCTTAAGCTGGTAGGATTGATTAGTGGCTAAGTAAGTTAATTCATTATGAAGTTCTTAGAACAGGACTTAGCACATAAAAAATACTCAGTGACTGTCAGCTTAGGTATTACTATTATCTAATATCTACAACAGCCCTATAATCCATAAGTCATTTTAGGAGATTCAAAAAGAGAGGGGAGAGAAAGAGAGAGTGCTCGTGCGTGCAACATCTACACCCCTTTTCCACAAACCAGCTTCTGCATATGGTGAAGGGAAACTGCTAATATTGCTGAACTTTTTCAGCTCCTGGTCAGAGATTGGGTCATTCAATCATTAGATCACACGTTAGCAGGAAGGAGGTCAATTCTATGACAAGGAACCAAATCCAAGTGAAATCTTTATATATATATATATATATATATATATATATATATATATATATATATATTTAGTTTTAGGTGGACACAATATCTTTATTTTTTATTTTTATGTGGGGCTGAGAATCGAACCCAGTGCGCCACACATGCTAGGCAAGCGCGCTACCACTTGAGCCACATCCCCAGCCCCCAAGTGCAATCTTTCCTTTGCACTTCTTGTAAGCACACCTGGGGGTACCAATGGGCCAGTCTCACTGATGTCTCCAGTGGTTAGGGAGGTGAACTCAGGATCTCCTCCATAGACTCATTTCAGTCTCAGGATAAGTAGGAGAAAAGAGAATAGGGTAGGGACAGATGGCCAGAGAAGGAAACTCACTGAAGCATCAACCCTAAACTTCATTCCCCAACCATGCTTTTATAAAGGGCTTTGCATTGTTGGTGGATGGATAGGTGTTTGGGGGAGTTTCTCAGATTTAAATACCTTGAACTTATATTTTCCAGATTTTTATTCTTTGGTATGTGTTCAGAACTCCAAGATAGGAGGGGTGAGTGGGAGCTTATCAAAATGTCACGGTGAAACTTCTAAGTGCAAAAATGTCCTGTTGTATTTTTAATCAATGATGACTCATGTTGATCAACTCTTTCTTTTCTAAGTGCTCACAGACATTCATTTATAATCCATTAAATTAAAAAAAAAAACATTTATTGGGCTTCAAATGGGCCTTGTGTAGTTAACAATACATTTAGTAATATGTTTTGGAATTCTATCCCAAATTTGCAATCAAATTCCCTGATCTATAGCTTGACAAATCTACTCCATTTTCCTATGTTAGAAACTAGTTCATACTGGTCTGCCTCCAGTCCTTACCAGTTCTGGGAACAGAGAGTATCTCCAGCTCAAGGAAGCCACTACCCCAGGGATAATGAGGTCTGGGTAATAGGCAAACACCTGTCATCTAGAGCCATCAAGCTCAGTGCTGGGGCAAGCAGAAAGAGAGTCTGCTGTTTCTTCCCTGGGTTGTTCATTCATTTGTGCACACTGAGTACCTCTGAAGGTACTCTGCTTCCATGGTGAACAAGAAAGGCTTACCATGCACCCTCCCAGCACTTCCATTTTAGTAGCTAAGAAGACAGACTTTAAGTGAACATAGTAACAATTGAGGAGTATAATCAAGGAAGGGCAGAAGATTTCAATGTTAGAATCAGGGATACTGATCTCTTCTGCAAGTTAGGAAAAGCCTCTTAGGGAAGCTCCATTTGAATGGAGACCTGAAGGGTGAGTAAAAGGGTATGAGCTTCAAAAGGGGGAAATGAAATGGGTCCAGTAATAAGGGAGGGCATTAAACAAAGCCTCTTTGTATGAGGTCTATAGAAATAATAGTGTATAAGGAACCTTAACAAAATCAATGTGGCTCAAGTGTGAGAGGATCAAAATTAGATTATAAAAACAGTAGGTAAAAGTGCTCTTAGGAGCACTTGAGAGTCATTTCACAGAATTTGGCTATATTAACAATAACTGAAAGACATTGAAACTTTTTTTTTGTTTGCTTTAGTTTGGTTTTGTCTTGTTTTCCATTGAAATGTTCTAAGCAAGAGAGTCTCATGGTCACTTCTATTTCAGAAGTCATCCGACTGAATAGAGAATGGATTAAAAGGTAGACAAAACTCCATGTGGGAAGAACAGTATCTTATTCTCCTCAGGCTGCTATGCCAATCCCATAGACTGGCTGACAAACAATAGAAATTGATTTTTTATTTTATATTTTATTTTTTTTACAGTTCAGGAAGCTGGAAGTCAGAGATCAGAAAGCCATCATGGTTGGGTTCTGGAGAGAGCTCTCTTCCTGGCTTGCAGACTGCCACCTTCTCTCTGTGTCCTCACATGGCACAGAAAGGAGAGAGAAAGAGAAACCATGAGGTCTCTAATAGCATGACCTCATCTAACTCTAATTACCTCCCAATGGCCCCATCTCCAAATACAATCATGTTGAGAGTTAGGGCTTCAGTGCATAAATTTGGGAAGGTGAACACAGATATTTGGTCCATAGCTCACAGGAAGTCAAGGTCAAGGACCAGCACAGGAAATGAAAAGGTTGACAGACATGACAGCACTCTTGCTTGACTCCTGATCATTTCTGTGACACCATTACCCTGAGTTCATCTCCAGGATGTACCCCATTTCCTAGTCATTATATATTACTGTCCACTGGCTAAAGACATCTACTCCAAAACATAACATTTATCCCCTGTAATACCCCATTCCCTTTTTTTCCCAGTCATTCCTAC